AGCAATACATTATTGAAAAAAAAATGCCAGCAATACATTTTTGGGAAAAAAAATATTACCTGTAATAATTTTTTTTTAAATAACTTACTGAGGTTGATATGCCGTGAACTAAACCAAAACCAAGGCAAACAGCACACACACACATACACACATGCACACACACACATGCATACAGACGCATGTATACAATTACACATAAACACACAGAAGTACTTATTGATTTGATTTATGCAAAAGTCCCCAATGACAACCATTCGAAATGACTTTAGATTGTCCAGAGTCCTTTTCTTAATGGTGCAGCTAAATATAGCATGTCATCTTACGAGACACGAGAAAAAAGTTGATTCCTTGGAGAAAGTGATTTAAACAAACATCGGTTAAACATATATCTCGGCTCAGATATCAACAAATGGCGACAGGGATAAGTAAAAATGTATCTCAACGAAATAACCTTTTTTTTATTCTTTTATTCATCTATATATCACTATCTCAATCTCTCTACCTTTTTCTCTCTCTTTTCTCTCTACGCGTGAACGGAGCGATTAATGGGTGTTCTGTCAACGTAACTCTAGAGTCGAGATGCTGAAGCTAACATAAATCAGCTAATTTTACATTTGTATTAATCATATATATATATATATATATATATATATATATATATATATATATATGCATGTTTTCATTAAAACTACAGACAAGGTACTACGGTTAAGCTTTTTATTTAATTTTTCTTGTGTTCGCACAAGAGCTTTCTTTTTTGGACACAGAGTGTGTAGCAACTCACTCGGATAAAAACATCACATTAAACTATAAAAAAATTTAAGACAGCTAACCTTATCCTCAAAAATAATAAGACACCAAAATTACAACGAACGAACATTATCTATGAGATAAAATGCCCCTTAAGGAACTGTGTTCCTGATCAAACTGAACTGAATAGATAATTGCATTGGTCAAACAACTACCTGCCTATCTAGACTCCTTACATTACACATATCTGACCATAGCTCTATTAGAACCCATTTAAACCCACACGCAAAACTACCAGACTCCATTCAAAATATACTAGTGGAAAATACAAACATAATAACCTCATCCACCTGTAAAAAAAAGATTTAAAATAATGAATTTTTAATAATAAAAAAAAGCCAACTCTTAACAATATTAACGACGAACAAGGCCACAATATGCTAACCGTGTTCGGAAAATAAAAACATCTCTAGAACACATTAAAAGCATACACATAACACTCACACTCAATTAAACTGAAAAAATGGGGTTTCCTTCCTGTAGCAAAGCTGCATCTAGGCCGTCTATTGGGTGCATCTGCCTGGATTACAGTTTCTTTTTTCGGATTGTAGTATGTGAGGAGCATTTCTTTACAAACCAGGTTTTTGACTTTTTGTAAGGACTTCTGTTGACTTTCAGTCCACCTGTACGCTGATCCGTTTTCTAGTAGATCTCTCATCGGTGATGTGAGATCAGAGAGATATGGAATGAAGGGTGCCATATAAGTAATGATTCCTAGCACTGTTTGTAGGTCTGCGACGCTTTTCAGGCAGGGTAACATTTTAAACCTGAGCCCTTCAACCTGCGCTATCTTCATCAGGTCGTGCTGATTTTTGTCATGTTTTTCTTTGATTTTGCCATAAACTATGACATCGTCTATTAGTTCTAATGTACCAGAGCATTCCTTCAGAATCATTTCTATTTTCTGCTGGAATACATCCTGGGACATGACCAGGCCAAAAGGCATTTGCTGGAAGCAATACCTTCCAAAATGAATGTTGAATATGGTCAGTAGCTTTGATACAGGATCAAGCTTGATCGACCAGTATCCATTCTTCGCATCCAATTTGGAAAAGTACTCGGCATCAGGGAGTTTGTGTGTGAGATCCTCCATTGTGGGAGTCTTGTATTGACATCGCATGATAGCTCTATTTAGATTCTTGGCGTCCAAGCACAGACGGAGTTTACCATTACTCTTGCGAACATACTGCTAACCCTTTGTGTAGGCTCGCTTACTCTGCGAAAGATTCCCTGTTTCATCATGTCATCCAGCTCGGATTTAATCTCATCTCTCATATGGATGGGACATTTCCTGGGTGCATAGATGACAGTGATGGTTGTTCGGTTTTAGGACATTATGGTATTCGCCTGTGAAACTACCTATGCGGTCGAACTGATCCGGGTATATGTCTCTCAGGTCCTTCAGTTGATCTGTGCCTCGTTCTCTTGGATGACACAGTGCATCGTAATGGGTTTCAGGTCTCTTAGTGATGGGTGTCCTATTATTGTAGGTCCCTCTAAGGTTACCGCGAAGAACTTGATTGTTTTCCACTCTCCTTTGTAGGTGCACTGTATGCTAATAGAACCCTGATGAGGGATGCTGGATCCATTATATGCAGTCAGTACAGTTGATTCTTTATGCGTTGCACCAGCGAGTGGCTGTCCAGTGGTGCTGACTTTGCGAGGGAACATCTTGCGGAAAACACGTAAAGGAAGGGTATTGCTTTCAATTGCTTGCTCCTGTGTCAACCTTAGCTTTTAGTTTCTGGGTGCCTGGTAGGTTGAGAAGGTTGACCTCAAGTTCTGCAAAAACCTCAGTCCTCGTGTATTTTTTTATTTTGCCGCTTAATTGCATCAAACGACATTTGTGCATATTGTTCGTATAAATCGTCACCTTGACAGGCATTAAGTGAGTAGACACGGTTGCTAAGTTTCTTGTCCTGATGCCTCTACTGCTGGTCTCCATGAGTTTCCCGGTATCCAAATTTAAATTTGTATCTATTTTGCGTGATGTGTGTGTGCCTTTCTCTCTTTTCTTGTCTGTTGTTACCGACTTTAGCCCAGTGGTTTCTTCGTCCACAAGCTGAGAATGTAGTATTCCATGCCGGACAGTTTTCTTTCTGGTGGGAATGCATGCTGCCACATTGGTTGCAGCTGCTATACTTTGTCAATTTCCTGGTACTTTCTAACTTGGAATTCTGCCAGTTGCTTCATATGGCCTACTGAAGGTTCGTGAGCCCTAAATATATTAAGGGCTTCCTTAAGTGTCTAAAAGTTCTCCTTTTGCTAATAACTACTTCTGCAATTCCTGGTGTTTAGTTCCAGAGATGACCTGCTCTGGTAACCGTTCCTCGGTGTCTAATGCATTTCGGAACTTTCATTTTTCTTTTCTTTTTTCTTTTTTTTTTTTGCCTGCAACCTGCATCTCGCCACAAAATCATCCATACTTTCTGTATCTTTCTGTGTGTATTGACGAAAGTAAAAACGAGCGATGTAAAAGTTCAATTTTGGCTCTAAGCTTTCCTCAAATTTTTGACAAATAATTTCTGGATCCTTTTTGTCGGTTTCGTTTGTGAAAGGCCATAAGTTAAACCTTCTTAAGCCTTCCTCTCCATATAACAAAAGAATGTGTTCAACCTGTTTGTCGGCTGGTATGTTATTTTATAGAAAAATAGAGGCGACATCGCTGTTTAAAAAATCTTTTAAATGTGTTAAATAATGTTAAATATCATTTTTGATTTTTCTAATACTTTTCGCCAAATACATTTCCTAATGATGGTCTGATTAGAGAGTTACTGAATGTTGACGTTGTAAGGGCGTATAGGAAGGAAGAAATGCGTATAGAGAGGAAGAAAGGTGTATAGGGAGGGAGAAGTTTTGTAGACGCCCAGTGTATCACTGGCTCGGAAGCGTTATTATCCATTATGCAAATAACAAAAAACAATTGAAATAAGTGGAATACACTATGATAAAAATGTTTGATACACTTACTTGTTTTATTTCAATCAATACGAATATTTTCTTTTTTTCTTTTTTTGTTTTGTTTTTTAAAACATTTTCGCAAATGGCCGGACTTCTTTTTCTCATAAAGGTTAAAAAGGGGTCTTAAGTCCATTTTCTTGGCATAACCTTTTCCTGGTTATTATTGTCCAGTAGTGTATTATTTTTCTACTGAGAATATTTTCATTTTACCGCTGTCACCATGTAACAGTATTTAATGAAGACAGAAGACACTTTTAATACGTTAGAGGTTTTTCAGCCATCTTTTTATTCTGTCTACACTGAACCCTAATGCAAGGGTCATTACTTTTGAGGGATTATCATGACAGTTACTGGCAACATATCAGTAATGGATGGTAGAATGAATGACGCAGCATAGAAAAATATTTTGGAAGGGAATTTAATGATTTCGTTTGAAAATCTTGAACTTCCTCCTGATTGAATCTTCCAAGATAATGATCCGATGCACACTGCAAAATTTTCGAATAAATTGCGTGCTGAAAATAATGTAAATACCCTAAAATGGCCAAGTCAGTCCCCAGATTTAAACCCAATCGAGAATCTGTGCCGTTATTTCAAAAATCAAATCCAATTGAGAGTTCCAACAAACATCACGGATCTGAAGAAAGACCATATGCGAAGAAGAACGGAACAAAACACCAGTAAAAATTAACTGAGAACTAAAAGAAGAGGTTTGTTGCTGTAGAAGTGAATAATGGCTATTCTACAAAGTATTAAATGAGGATTATGTATTCATTTTGCATTGTACGAATACTTTTTCACCCATTAAAATGGATAAATGGTATTTATTTCTATCAAATCAATTTGTTTTTGTTTTCTGTGCATATTTAGTTATTATGCATCTGCGCACAGTTGATTGTATCGGAAATAAGTTTATACATTAGTTGGAAATACAATAAATTAAAAAATATATGTGTACAAAAATTCAGCTATTATATATATATATATATATATATATATATATATATATATATATATAATTCTCTATCTCTCTCTTTATGTATGTATGCATTTAGTTGTCTGTATATCTATGTTTTATCGCTCTATTTTTCTACTTATTTCTATTTCTATATTTATATTTAAATATACATATATATATATATATGTGTGTGTGTGTGTGTGTCTATCAATGTTTGTATATGTCTGTCTGTACATATATACATATATTTATGTCAATCTATCCTTATCAGTCAAGGTAGCAAGTTATCAGTTTCTCATAATATCTATCTAACTACGCATCTATTTGTCTGTCTCAAATCTATCTGTCAATATATCTATCTATCTATCTATCTCGGTGCGTGTCTGTCTGTATGTCTCTCCGTCTGCCTGTCTCTCTCTCTCTCTCTCTCTCTCTCTCTCCATATATATAATTCTTAATCTCTCTATGTATGTATGTATCTACCTGTATATCTCACTTTAGAGCTATATCTTTCTATTCATTTATATATATATATATATATGTGTGTGTGTGTCTATCTGCATATATATCATTCTATTTATGTCAGTCTATCTATATCAGTTAAGCTAGCTTTTTACAGTTTCTGTCTATTTATCTATCTATTTCTCTCTATCAACCCATCTACTTATCTATCTATCTATCTATCTATCTATCTATCTATCTATCTATCTACCTACCTACCTACCTACCTGAGACTGTTCTTATCTTTCTATGTCTCTGCCTATCTAAGACTGTTCATATTTATGTATCTGTCTATCTATCTAGGACTGTTTCTTCTATCTCCCTAAGACTGATTTCTTCCTATCTAAGAATGTTCATATCTATCTATCTATCTATCTATCTATCTATCTATCTATCTATCTATATATATATATATATATATAAGACTGTTCATATCTATCTATATAAGACTCTTCATATCTATCTGTCTGTCTATCTATCTATCTATATAAGACTCTTCATATCTATCTATCTATATAATGTTCATATCTATCTATCTCTTCTTCTCTCTCTCTATATATATATATATATATATATATATATATATATATATATATATATATATATATAAGACTCTTCATATCTGTCTGTCTGTCTATCTATCTATATAAGACTCTTCATATCTATCTGTCTGTCTATCTATCTATCTATATAAGACTCTTCATATCTATCTATCTATATAAGTGTTCATATCTATCTATCTCTCTCTCTCTCTCTCTATATATATATATATATATATATATATATATATATATATATATATATAAGGATAATACTATCTTCATCTATCTATCTTCTATATAAGACTCTTCATATTATCTATCTATATAAGTGTTCATATATCTATCTATCTATATAATCTCTCTATATATATATATATATATATATCTGTATATATATATTGACTGTTCATCTATCTATATTAAGACTTTCATCTATTTGTCTATCTATCTATATATAAGTGTTCATATCTATATTATTTATAGAAAGTTCTCTCTCTCTCTCTCTCTTTCTATATATATATATATATATATATATATATATATAAGACTGTTCATATCTATCTATATAAGACTCTTCAGATCTATCTGTCTGTCTGTCTATCTATCTATATAAGACTGTTCATATCTATCTATCTATCTATCTATCTTAGACTGTTAATATCTATCTAAGACTGTTTTTATCTCTCTATCTATCTCAGACTGTTCTCTATCTCTCTATGTATGTATTTATCTACCTTTTTTATATCTATTTCTTTCTCGCTTTATCTTTCTGTTTACTTATGTAAACTTACAGTTCTCTACACCGCTATTATCTATCTTTTATGTTGTCTCTACTAACCTCACGTGAATAACTTGAAATACTTGCTTTTCTGGGATTTTTTCCAGTCTCTTTTCTTCCGTTTCTCGGGCATTTTGTAAAGACTAGGTTCCAAGTCTTGCTAAAATCTGGTGTTCGCTGCTCGATGAATTATAAAGGACATCAAGTCGATTCTTGCGCCAAAGAAAAATATAAAAATATTCCAACCGCCTAAAATCCTTGTAACTCTTCCTATCCTCAGTACAAGAGCCCACTTAATTCATCCTTTTTTTTATTTTTATTTCCATGAAAAAAAAAAAAGAAGATAGCTGATATTCGACCAGAGATCCTAAAAGCGGACGGAGTACCGCTTTTCTTTTCTTTTCTCTCATCGATCCCTTCTTTGTGCAACTTCGATTTGGATTGATCGAAATCAATTGCGTCAGTTCTCGGTTGCTATCCGGAGACGACTAAAATAAAAATTTTAAAAAAAAGAAAAAGCCTCGCGTTCTTTTTTAAACCGAGTCTTTCTTTTTGAAATAAAGTGAATTGGTATTTCATCTGCAATACAGGAAAAACGGAGGCGATTTTTAGCAAGACAAATTTTGTGTATTGACTTTGAATTTGACTGGGTTCCTCATGAATGTGACCGTTTTTTTCTTCTCTGATCTATACTAATCAGTCCCCCCAAATGTGCAATCTGCATTAATGCATGTCTCATTAAAGCTTAGATTGGATTTAAACATGTATCAATATGGTGTTTTTCTTTCGTCTTTAAACGATAATGCGATTAATCTTATCAGACAATATGAAAGGAACTTACTTAAAATAAATAGACAAAACTTTATATTATTTAATGAAACATGCATTAATGAAAAATTGCTGCCTAAATATACACAATATATATTGTTAAATATAACAGACAACGAATG